GGAGTATTGACTAGATGCTGATAAGATGGAGGAAAATACTGGTAACAGTAATAGCTTGGAATAACATTGCTTAGATAAGCAAAATGAATTAGAAACATTAAAATTTACAGATAGAGTCACAGAAGAAGTTGTGGCTGTTCAATATTACCCTAAGTTCTGTAGATCTCTGTTTTCTCTTTGCTGATGGAACATGGGTTAAGTAAGTGGACAGGGATGTGGGCTGGAATCTGGCTGAACTGCCAGGCTCAAAGGCTTGTAGTCAGCAGCGTGAACTCCTGCTGCAGCACTGGGGCTGCACCCCAGGGATTGATACTGGGACCAGTGTCCTTTAACATCTTTGATAATGATCTGGATGATGACAGCCCGTACCATCAGCAAGTTTGCAGCTGATACAAAATCAAGAGGAGTGGCCAAAGCACCATATCCTGCTCTTGGTCTGTCCAGGTTCTTTTGAATAGCCTAGAGTCCTTGTTCTCTTACTTGTCTTACAAGTAAAGCCCTGAAACTCCTTTAAGACATCTGAAGAGTGTAACCTGACAAATCACATAGCTACCACAATGTATAATAGAAAGGATTTCTCAGCAGAAGGACATTGAGCTTTTCAGAAATCATTTCTTTGTCTCAGATGTAATTGTCTCAGTATTTCAGCTATTACTGCACTGAAGTATGCATATTTTTTTTATCACACAGACTTCACTAGGAAAAAAAGAAAAAAGTAAAGGATTGTTTTATAAAGCCCTTCAAAACTGTCCTTGGGCAAAGGTAAGCACAGAAAACAGGTAAACTTGTCATCACACTTTAATTTTTGAAATTCTGTATTTGAAAAAGAAAAGTTAATCTTTAGTAGCTGTTGTAAGGAGTTATATGCAAATGAAAGGAGAGGTTTCTGAGAAGTAATGTTATATTTTCTGCAAATAAGAGATGAATCATAAATGAAAACACGGTCAATAGTGCTGTTGCTGTTTTAGGACAGAAGGGTGTTGTGTTGAGGCACTGCAGTAAAAAATCCTGTGTGATCTAGAAATGATTGAGTCTTTCAGATTTTTATCATGAGCACGGCAGTATCAGAAATACATAACCAAATAAGACTTTTTTTATGTAATAATATATAAAAATTATTGAGAAGAACCTGCAACTCCTCAGGTAGTGTCTGTATATGCTGCAAATGCTCCAGTGCCTCTTGACCTCCATTTTATCTTTTTGAATAAAGTTACTCAGTAAGACTTGGAAAAGACTTGATTAAACATCTACTTGGCTGTCACTGTAGGAGTGCTAATTCTGTTTGCATTACTTTAAAAAATACATGATATCTCTTAGGTACTTGCTACAGAGTTGTTGCTGTCTATTTACTTCTTTATACTGTGTTTCTTGCTAGAAAGGTAGCACAGAAAATGTTCTTACTGTCTTTCCAGGTACTCTATATGGATGCAGTAGAGTATTTCCCTGATGATCTGCAAGAAACGCTTGATCTAATGACCGAAAAAGAACTGAGAGTGCGGGTACCTATGGAAGAGCTGGATCTACTACTAGAGATTTAAAAGAAGACTATAATGGAGTGGAGGAAGTACAGAAGCTGCTTTCAAAGCTGACAATAAGATCCATCTCTTTTCATACAGAACTCTGTTGGGACTTGGGTACTATGTACTTGATACTTTTTTGTTGGTGTTAAATCTTTATATAAATTCCTATCAAAATGGAGTTCTACTACCTGCAAGTGTTCTGGAATCAAGAACTGCATTTTGCCCACAATAATGGATCCATTTTTCTGAAGTATTCCTGGCTCCCACAGAGGCATACCCTCTTTAAATAGCCTCCTGTTGGAAGTTGCCTGCATTTCTTATTCTATTGTTTGAAATTACATTCCCTGGGGCTCAGAAGAGGTTCAGTACATGCCAACTATGGCTTGGTGAGCAGCACAGGGAATAAACATCTGCCAAATGGATGCTCCACTGTCCTCCAGTTGGCAGACTTCAGTAATTTCCTTCAGCATGGTATGCCTGTGTATATGTAACTGCCAAGCCAGAGCCATTACATCTGTACATATACTGTGAGTAAAAGCTAAATTTTTGTTTGAGCAGGCACCTATTTTGGTATGCTTTGACAGATTACCATTTTAATATATTTTTTCCTGAAAAATATACCTGAATATTTGAAAATTCAAAAGTAACTTGTTTTTTATTTATTAATAGAACTTTGAGTCCGAAATGCATCTCTAAGCAGCTCACTTTTAAACAAATTTCTGTAACTGATTACTTGTTTTGAATCAAATCCAGGCAATTGTTGTAAGAAAAGTAGATGTTTGATCTGTATTTGGTTTTCATCAAGAAGGCATAGTCTTCTATAATTATTTAAAAAGTAGTTTATATTCCAGGAGACTTTTAGCAAGGTCCTAAAGAAGTAATATGAAATATGGTATTAATTTAAAGATACAGTAAGGTTATATATTTTGTAACACAGAACATGCTGAAACATGGAAAGGATTGTTTAGCATCCCTACTCTTGAGACCCAAGGACTCGGAAACTGGATTTTTATTTGAAGCAAGTATACCTGCAGCCCCTGAATACCCAAAACTGTTTCAGACATTTTTCATGAGAAAACTTTTTGTCACTAGCAGCACCACTAAAGCAATTGGGATCATCCAGCTGGTGAGATCCTATTACACATGAAACTATGTCTGGACCAAGATGTACAACTTCTGGCTTGAGTTTGCCACCATCATACAAGACAGAATACACCTTAGTCCAGGCTGCATTTCATTTATTCCTTTCTAAAATTATTTTAAATGCTGCAGAGAATATGTATAATTTCAAATGGCATTACAGCACTTCTGAAGAGCCTTATAAAATTAATGTAGTTGCAAGTGATGCTGGTTTTGCAGTAATCAATTCATCTTTGTGGAAAATATAGTTTATTTTTTAAATCTTTACTTTCTACAAAAATGACAAAGCTCCTGAATTAGAGGTTGAAGTTACTCTGTACCCTGAACAGTAACATGACAAATTATGCCTGTTTGTTAATACTTTCCCATCACAGCAGAATGCCATTTCCTCTAAAAGCCCTGAAAGGGCCATGGGAAGGGGAGAAGCTTGATTGTGCTCCTGCTTAGAGTCACAGAGGAACCCAGGTTGAGAGGGACTTTGAAAGATCATCTGGTCCAACCTTTTGTGGGACAGGGAGCCTAGATGAGATTCACAAGCTCTCTCTGCAGTCACATTTGAAAACTTCAGTGATGGCAGCAATGACTTCTGTATCCATCACTTTTCTGTTCTTCCATGCATCCTGTCCCAAGTCCTTTCCTTTGCAGTTTCTCCCAAAGCACTGCTTGGGCTGCTTCCTTCCTCTTGATGATCAGAGGCTTCCCGGAGCAATTCCTGCCTTTTAATTCAGACCCCAGTAGCTTTCCTGTTCTTGTGGGGAATGTACTTGCTGTTCACTTTCTCCTGGTATTTATTACTTTTGTCTTGATTGTCAAATTCAGAAAGTGGCAGTAGTTAAGTTCTGCTGTAAAAGCTAAGAACTGAATTTTCAAACGTGTGTTTTTCAGTTCCTGTGATGGCAGATAGGGTACTAGAATGGAGTCCTTGGGTTCATTTAATGCAATGCAGCTGTTCTTCAGGGAGCTGAACCCATCTCTTTGTGGCTGTTGCTTTGAGCCAGCAGTAACAGCCATGTCCCAAATAAAAAGTGCCTTGCTTGCCACACTTGTCATAAAGCTCTTCAGCCCCTCAAGCAACAGTGAGATCAACTGCCATGATTAGAAAGTGCTATAAAGTCCCTAGCTTTTTGTGACCTTTCCAAGGAAACAGATCTCTTAAGGTTTTTAAGAATGGGTAATAAAAGCTGTTTTTCTAGCTCCAGATGAAAAACAATTCTATTTCAGGATTTCTGTCATCCAGATTAAATAAAGGACTCCATTCATCTGTAGGGTTCATTTTTAACAATGAGCCACATAATTTTTACATAGAAAAATAAAATCTCTTGGCCCTGCTGCTGCCATTGTTGTTGGAGCACTGGCAGTGAGCAAAGGCATTGCTCTGGGTGTAACTCTCCACCGTCTGTTACTGGCCCATATTTGCTCCCACAGAAAGTTCCCAGAACAAAGACTGCACATTGCGTAACTGGCTTGCATGTGGAACTTTATATAAACCTTAAAGATCACATGTACAACATTTGGGAATGAATTACTTAGAACTCAACAAGCCCTTCACAGAAATGTCCTACACAGGATACTTCCTAAGTAGTATATGCATGGCTACAGCTGAGCCAACAGACATGTAGCCCCCATGGGAATGGAGCTGTAGGCAACAGAATTGTGTCGAGGGGAAGAATTCAAGGTCCTGCTGTAGAGCACCAGGCATGGGACACGTAGTTAGAATTTCTCTTGCACATCTGCTGCATGCCAGACGCTGCACCTCTAGCACTGGGCCTGGTGCCTTACAAGCATGCACATCCTGCCATGGGCAGCATGGGGCCCTTGAACCTGTTCCTGCTGTGTTCTTCTCAGAGACATTCTCTGTCTTGGATGTTCATCTAATGAACTGAAACCCTTTTGGGAAAAACAGATTTATAAACTAATCTTACAAGCACCCTATCCAAACACGTTTAGATGTTTAAGGTAAGATTACTTATGAGCATCCATCTTGCTCTAAACTGCAAGTGCTAGAGATGGGTACCTTTAAAGCATATCTCAGTGTTACTTGGAGTTGCATACTTGTCATTAATTTTCATGTATAAATGACTGATGACACTGAGGTTACTCAAAAGTGACACTTGTCCTAGTTAGCCACTTAAAAAATATATAAGAAGGTAATCAAGAACAATGGACATGCTAGAAGAGTTGTAAGAGCCTGCCATGTCTAAAAAGGACTAAGAGTTGGTACACCTGCACTGCTCCCTGCCCACGTGCTGTGGGTCACTGAGACAAGCACTTGGCTCACCAGCCCTTTTTCTTCAAAGTCAGTGAGTGCAACAGACATAAATAGCAGGGCTTTGCCACCAAAACAGTTCAAATAAATGTTTTATTGGGAAGAGTTACACTGGCTGAAAACCCACAACCCACCAGCTTTAACCTGCTCATGAATGAGAACTAGCTGTCTGGTTTTACACAAGACTCTCATCAACACAGAAAGTTCTGTATAGTTCCCAAAGAGACAGGTGACTTAAAGATACAGTCCCTCAGGGGTTCCCTCTTGCTTTTTATAGAGAACGTTCTCTTTAGACTTTTTGAAATCTTCATTTGTTACTTTCATTCTCCGTTCCCTCAAAGCCATCAATCCAGCTTCTGTACAAATTGCCTGCAACACAGGAAGCAAGAACAGTTACACTTTCTGTGCAACCCCTTCAAATCACACCCTCAAAGGCAGCTGCATCTTCCTACTGCTCCAGTAACATTACAAGTGAGAAGTGTTAACAAAATCTACATTCTTAAGTTTATACTGTTCTGTAGCACTGAAGGAGGCTGGATAAAGCCAGATGAGTGTGTCCAAAAACACAGAAGTAGTCAAGAGTTACACTTTCCAGCTTTGTAACAACAGTAATTTCCCTCCTGCAAGGACAGACATACCCAGTTTTGTGATCCTTCTGCAGGGAGGTGACAAATGTTTCAGGTTGGTTTAAGCTCATGAGTGTGGTAACTGTAGCAAGAGCTCTATCTGCTTTTAAAAAAGCAGATAGGGTATGTCTGAAGCTTCCCAATACACAGTTGCATTTTTATCTGCCTTGCAACATAAAATGCTAAAAATGCTACTGATCCTGTACTCTCTTTAGGAACGTTTAAGATACCTTGAACAAGATTCCACAGTCTCCTTTTAGTTTCTACTTTGCTACCTTAAAATCTCGCATTCAGGTAACACAGGTACATATTCTTACCGAAACAGGCTGCATCACAATTAGGATTTTGATAATTTCCCATTTGTAAAGCAGAGTACCTGGCACCTATAAAAGCTATTTTAAACCACCCCACTGTCCCTTGGTGATGTAAGTGCAGAAAATTGTCAAACAGGTCAAATGACAATAGTTCTGGATGTAAAAAAAAATGAGATTTGATTTTTGCTTTCAAGAATAAACAACGGTAATGTGCACTGACCTTAATATCCGCACCACTGAGATCATCTTTTGCCATAATCAGCTCATCCAAAGTCACATCATCTGCCAACGTCATCCTGCTTGTGTGAATCTGAAAGATTCGTTTCTTTGTCTTTTCATCAGGTAGAGGGAACTCTATTTTCCTATCAATACGTCCTGTGCAAAAGAAAAGTTCAGTCTTAGGCTTTCTGCATGCAGCTTTTGGAAACAGCAGGAAGAACACCTGAAGAGTTTGACTGACAGTAACTCTTCAGCTGAATCATGTCCAGAGAAGGGCAATGAAGCTGGTGAAGGGTCTGGAGCACAAGCCCTATGAGGAACATCTGAAGAACATCTGGGGGTGTTTGGTCTGGAGAAAAGGAGGTGCAGGGATAAATGACCATATCATCCTCTACAACTGCCTGAAAGGAGGTTGTGGCCAGGTGAGGGTTGGTCTCTTCACCCAGGTAACAAGTCAAGAGAAAAATGGCCTAAAGTTCACATGGGGAGGTTTAGAGTGGATATTAGGAAAAAATTCTTCATGGAAAGAGTTGTCAAGTATTGGAACAGGTTGCCCAGGGAAGTGGTGAAGTCACCATCCCTGCAAGTACTCAAAAGAGGTGTAGAAGTGGCACTTGGGGATGTGGTTTAGTGGTGGACTTGGCCACGTTAGCTTAATGGTTGGACTCAATGACCTGAAAGATTCTTCCTGCCACAATCATGTCTGACTGATTAGAAAGCAAGGTCAGACTCCAATTCTGGCATAGTATCATCTCCTCTGTACTTAACAGAACTGAGGGGGTTTGAGCTAAAGGATCAAAAGCTAAATGATGACAAAAGCAGACCAAATACATACAATGGAGGTATTTCAGCTTATTTCTTTGATCTTTGTGTTGTTTTCTACCTTCCAATTTAACAGACACCACAGATATACTATGCTTTGGTACATTTTCAGTGGCCATTTAAAAATACTGTCTGTGCTTGCTCAAGCCCAGCATGTGTCCCTCACTCATGCCCCAAGTGGTAGGAGTGTGCCAGGTCAGTAAGGAGCAGCCTGCTCTCCTTGCACCAGGATCCAGGCTGTCACTGGTAATGCCCAGGTTCTCACCCCCAAAACACAGGTGGTGCTGCCCTGCCTTCCCCAGCTGCTGCAGGTGTGCTGCTGCTGCACACAGCTTGCTTAACAATTACTTAAAATGGCTGTGCCATCTTAATAGAAAGGAAAAATATTCAAACTGTTTATGTATATGTAAAGGAATTAACACATTTCTTCTCTTCCAAAGATTTTTTTTTCTATTTAGAAGTTTGTGAATGGTTCCTGATTTCAACAGATGCACCAGCATAGATGAGATGGTGAATAAGAACTTGCAGTCTTTTTACCAGCCTGTATTTGTCAAGTTACAACAAGTCCTTTAGAAAAAAAAGCTTTTTTTTTTTAGTCAGAAAAGGCACCAAGTAACTGCCACAAAGGCATGAACAAAAGGGGGAGAGGGGTATTTTGTTTGTAAACATCCATAAGAGATTTAAATAAAAAATAAAATGTTTATCCATATAAACAAAACATAGGTTTTCAGAATCATGTTGTGACATCTAGGTAAGTAAAGAGACACTGAACTATTCTTGTAGTTGGAGAATGTAACAGCCATCATGTGAAGGTAATCGGGTTTTTTCCATGTTTGTTATACATTTGGAAATATTTTCTTCCCACCTAACAAAACAACATAATAAAGGAAAAAACCTAATTCTTAAAAGCACATACATCCATACACAAGGCAGCAGCTGGCACTTCGGGCTAGAGGCACTTTGGGCTGGTGGCCATGTAGTAAACACATATGAGCACCTTTTTATTTATTTAAAAAACACCCACTACTTTAAAGACTATTTGCATTGGACAGTTCCAACAAACCTACAGAATTTTCAAAGAAATACAGATTGGATATGGGCTGAACAACAGTTTAGTATGGCACAAGCAATGCTTGTCTGTGACATACTCTGTGTAACCTTCTGTAAAATACTGTTAGAGTAGAAGTATTTAGCCACCTACTCGAAAGGCAAACAAAAAATGGATATATTAAGTATTCTTTACCATTACCTCATTAAAGCCAACTACTGTATATGGACTTGGGAGCTAGAGGATCCCATATACACAGTGTCTCTTTCTGGTGTTGACACTCTCTCCTAGAGTTGCTGCCATGTAGCAAGAGAACAGAGCTTATCTCTGGTCATGTCTATTTAGAACCAAAGGCTATGATATATTGTGTTTCCACGGAAGTTATTTGAAGAGTTACTTGTTACAAATGCTTACATGAAAACAGCCTATGCAAATGGTAGCAGAGCAAAGAAACTGAGTCTCAGTATAGCTGCAAAAGAAGTGTTTCTAGTCAAGCTTTTGTTGCCCCTGGCAAGCCCTGCGTGTGCAGTGGAGCTCAGCTACTGTACCTCTTGGTACCGATTGCATCAATCTCATCAATGAAGACGATGGATGGGGCATGCTCCTCAGCCACGCGGAACAGCTCACGCACGAGCTTCGGGCCATCACCCAGGTACTTCTGGATGAGCTCTGAACCAACCACTCTCAGGAAGGTTGCTGATGTTTGGTTTGCCACTGCTTTGGCAAGTAAAGTTTTTCCTATTTTTAGTTGGAAAAAAATACTGTAATTAGTCTGCAGAGAAGGGAAAATGAAAGAAAAAAGTGACCTAACAAAACAGATTTATGAAATTTGTGACAGACTTGGCAATGCTTTCAATACTAACCAAGTATAAATTATTTTACTTGTGTTATCTTAGCACAGGTGTTACTGAACTGTAAAATACCTGTGCCAGGTGGGCCATACAGAATGACTCCTTTGGGTGGCTTTATACCCATCTCTTCATAATATTCAGGGTGGGTGAGAGGAAGCTCCACAGACTCCTGAAGCACAAGAAACACAAACATGTTTTTGTAAGACTGAGTGGTCTCCAGCGAAGATCTGTAGGGATCATGTAGTAGTAATGAAACCAGTGAAGGCAAAAAGAACTTAACTGATTTTAAGACAGACATTGAACAACATGGCTCTCTGTTGTCTCCAATTCTAAGGAAGACAATTACTCCACCTGTACAGATCTTCCTATTGTTTTGACCTGATGTGTGGCAGAGCAGCAGTGAACATTCCCCTGCTCCATCCTCAATGCATCATCCCAAATTTAGAATCCCGGATTTCCTGAACCCCAGACACCCATGGATGACCCTGGGGCCAGGGAACCCTTTACAAAAGGGTACCTTCTAGAAAGAGTTACCATAGATTTTAAGAGCATTTGTGGTTTTAGACACCTACCCAGAATAAAAAGGTTGAATTTTAGCAGGTTCAGGCAGAGTTCTGCTGGTAGGGAAAAAGCCAACCAACCCAACACACCCCAACCAAACAACAAACAAATGCCAAAACAAAACAAGCAATTGCCCTGAGAGACTAAATCCATAGATTGGACGGCATCACACACTCAAAATAACCTCTAGTTTGTTCAACTTAACTTTCATCTTGCAACAACTGAAACTTTACAAGTTGCAAAGTAATAAGCTATTAGAGAGATTTTATGACCTCTGGGCTCTATAGGTTACTGAGCAACTGTGAAAGGTTCCCGTACACACAGCCTCTGGTGACCTGGTTAAAATGAGGTCCACGAGTCTGCCTAGTGAAATCTAATGAAGAAATGCACTACAGAAAGATAAAAGACACCACTACAGGAACAGCAGCCAGTCCTGCTGTATCCCTTCTCAGCTCCTAGCACAACAGTAACACTGCTGACTTAACTGTAAATGAGTAAAACTGCATACCTTGATTTCTTGAATTTGGTTGTCAAGGCCACCAATGTCAGCATATGTTTCTTGAGGAGCTTTCTCTACTTTCATCACAGTCACTAAAGGGTCTGTGTCATCCATCAAGACTCCTATCACAGCATGAACCTAATTCAAGAATTAAGAGTTGTCAAAGAAAGCAAGCAGCATTTTTAATACAAGCTGAAGTCTAATCTCTAGGCCCACTTATTTAAGTGTGAGAAATAAACAGCATTCTCTCTCCTGTGGTCTTCAGAAAAAAAAGGCCAGTTAAAAACAGTACAAGAACTTATAAAAAACTTGATTTTATAAAAACAACTCACCTTATGATTTAGCAAAACAGAGCAGCCTGGCTCTAGCAGGTCCTTGTCCACAAAAGACAGAATACTGACATAGTGCTCTGATCCCACTGATGTGGACACAATGGCGTGGTTGTCATCAATGATCTCCTCCAAGGTACCCACAGACATCGGTGTTCCTCTCAGATCATCCACCTTGGACCTTTCTTCCTGTTGTCAAGAAGAATCCAGGAAACAACTGAACAACACAGGCAAAAATATTCTTAGACAACAGTGGCTCAACAATTCAGACAGAACACATCAGAACCAGTCTTTTCCTATTGGTCTGCTGCCCCAAAAAGACAGAGGTCAGTAACAAAATCCACTATTAATTGAGTCCTACCCTACAGACACCATTTATGTGGATGTGAGTAACTAGAATCTTCTTTCTCTGGTGGTGGATATCTGCAAGCTGCACTTTGACAGAGCATTAAGAAACAAAAAACTCCCATGGCTTCATCTGCAGTGAACCCTGCTTGGTCTAAAACAATTTAGCCAATTAATGAGGAATTGTGATATGCTTGTATCAATGTGCACACCGTTTTTCCATAGCTTTGGTACAAAGTAGTTCACATTAATTAAGAGCATTTACTGCAACATTAGAAGTAACAGTTCACTCAAACCTCACCTCTTGTTTTTCTTCCAAAGGTTTCATCTGCTCTTGATTTCTGATGAACTCTTCCTCCATTAAGAGGTAATCTTTAATTCTCTCCAATTTCAACAGCTTGAGTCTGCACTGTGTGTGAGGAGTCACTGTAACCAAAGCAGAATCACAGTATTTTAGAACAAGTTTGACATGGTACCAACTAACCACTAATTCATTACTAGAAATCCTGCTTTATTTTCCTGACTGTAACTTGTACCTTACTTGTCCCATTCTAACTGCAGATTGAATGTTTCCCTTGCATTTTTCCTCAGTTCAATTTCTCTCTCTCTTACCTGGGAATTTATGGGCTGCATCTTGCAAAAAAAATAATCTTATTCTATGGGGGGCTTTTTAATGTTAATTAGCAATAAAATACATTTGGCATTGTGTTAGTGAGCTCCACAGAGGCAGATCTCGAGGAGAGCAGAGCTCTGTACTTCTCAAAGAGCAGACAGTCCACAGCTCCGCAGGGGGTCAGAGCACTTACCCAGGGGGAGTTTGCTGGCAGCATCTGGTCCCTTGGTCTTCTTTTTCTTTTTCCCCACTCTGGTTGGAACTGGAGGTTCATATTTCTTTTTCTTATCCTTATTCATAAAAAGAATTCCATAAAAAGAGAAAAAAAATCAGGATAATAACAATAAAACAATACACACAGGTGTTCAGTGCACAGACTAAAAAAGAGCTCAGGGTGAAGAATTTATTAACAAAATGTTCTCCTTATGGTCTGTAGCAAGAAGCACAAAACAAATATGACTCTTAGTTTTTAAGAACATTTTAAAATTTCTTCTCCTGCTTATTTTACATCCTTCTTTCTAATTTAAACTTCTGCCGGTTTTCAGTGAATATGGGACATGGAAGGCTCAAACCTGAAGTAAATCACAAACAAAACTAATAGATGAAACAATGAGAAAAATATTTCATCTCCACCTTTCTGCTGCACTTCAGTCAATAAACCAGACATGTTCAGTTTCCTAGCCTAGACACTGCTTGCCATGTACATTGTACTTTCAGCTCCAAAGGAAATCAGGGAGGCCCCTGATATGTCCCACAACGTCAAGTACACTCCTACTGCAGATCACTGTGCTGTGTCACCTTCAAGCCAGCAACAGTTCATTAAGTGTCAGCTTGAAGGAAACTAGCCTTTCCTAACCCTGACAAATTTAGTTTTATTTTTTTAAATACAAGTCACTCTTCAGTTTTTCCTAAGCTCCCTTTTTTATTTATGAGCAACTCCCGTTTTCTCCAATGTACACCCAGAAAAGACATTCATCATATCATCATATCATATTAATCATATGCTCCAGCAAGAGCATAATTTTATGCAGTTGCAAATAAACCAGTAATTTTTAAAAAGTAAATTTAAAAAGGACATTGCAGCCAGGCTCTGTAGCAGCACACTTGTAGTTCATTCTGTAAGTATTTATTTGGGTTTCAGTTACCTTGTCATCCTTCTTGCTACCACCAGGACCATGCCCACCACTCTGACTTTGACCCTAGACAAAAGGCAAGAAAACAAACGACAAAAACTTAAATATATGTACACTTCTATGAATCGAGAAACCTATGGGAAATTCCACATACAGAAATCCCGCAACTGGATTTCTCCTGTCTAAACAAAGCGCTAACATATTCCAGCTTGTTGTCCAAAAATAAAAAGAAGTGTCCCGCCCGCCCCGGTCCCCCCGCGCGCGTTCCCCCATCACCGGGCCGCGGCCTGGAGGCGCCGGCGGTGACTCCGCAAAACGCCGGGCGCTGGCGTCGGAGCCCGAAGGGACGCGGCGT